GATATGCATGGTGTGAAACTGAGAAAAGCAAAAGTGATTTTGACAAAACACACACACAGTGGCACACATATGCCCACCCATGTCCATCCTTGGTAGCCTTCCCTTGGAGGGCAGGATAAGACAACAGCCAATAAATGAAGCCAACCAAGAGACTCCTCTCTCGAGGCAGGCAGTTTTTTTTATAGCCCTGGACAATCAGTAGCACCTGTTATCCAACTCCGGTGATGTCATAGACGCACTGCCTACACTCAGGCGTCTTCTCCAAGCTCGGTGGGAGCAGGGTTCATTTCGTGCCAGTCTGGAACTGGAAAAGGACCAGGGAATGATGAGGTGTGTGGAATTCCTTGTGTGTGTTGGGGGTAGGGCATGGAGTGAGTGTGTACACAAGCTCATGGGCATTTCCTAAGCATCTGTCTTGGACTCCAGAAATGGCCGTATCTTGATGGCTGGAGAAAGGCTTCCTCTGTCATCAAGCTGATCCCTAGGGTAGCACAGCTAATGTGCACACACGCGGGTGTACACACACCAGCTCACAATGCCCAATAGCCACTGATGGACCTGGAAGAACTATGTTGCCTACTGGAGCACCACTAAACTCCCACTTACTGACTGGATTGCTAACTTCAAGGGCAGCAGTTGGAAACCACCTGCTGTTCTGAGGGAGCGAGATGAGACTTTCAGCTCCCGGAAAGAGGTACCGTTTCCGGAACCCACAGGGGCAGTTCTACCCTGTCCCGGAGGGCTGTGCCGAGTCAGAATTGACTCGACGGCAGTGAGGTTTGCTTTGGTTTGGGTTAATCTTGGTAAGCTCATTTGGAATTCAAGGCTGATGATTGCCTTCAATCTGTGGCCAGGGCACACTGTCCAGGGAAGGCTACGCTAGATTGCCAGGCCAGAGTTCAGGGCTGGCCAGAAGGGTGCCCTGTCTCATCGTATACTAAGGAGGACCTGTAGGCGGGCCCAGCCATGGGTCCGAGGGATCACAGGCAATGAAATCATCATCCATCCCTAATTTTCTTTTCTTTTTTTTTTTTTCAATTTCCGAGTTGCAACGATTAACTTTCCAGCAAGCAGCCTTCAGGAGGCCAAGAGCCTCTGCGGAAGCAGGTGAAAGCAAGAAACAACCACAGTGGCTTGGTTTTAACATTTTATTGGGTAAATGATTTTAAAGGTAATAACAATAGTGTCAAAACTACTACAATTTTCTTTCCACAGCCAGACCTTACAGACCCACATAAACTTTCTCATTTTTTTACCTTTTTTGTTTATTTCGAAATACTTTAAAGCCATACATGTCATAGAAAATGCCCAGTTCCAATAGTTTCTCCAAACTAGCAAGCAATTAGACGTGGAAGGAAGGAGGCTCTAGTGATCCTACAGGAGGTTGCGGGTCACTTGGGATGTTGTCCTGTAATCAAATACCAGGCTACTATGAAAGGAGGCGGAGAAGAGCTATGGCAGGTCGCTAGCTGTCTGCTCGTTACAGGCCTTGCCATTGCACCATCAAGGACTCGTTATGCTGGTGACGGCTTCAAAGGAATTTCAGGGAACATAGAAACCACTAAAATAACTTAGAAACGAGATCCAAATATTTCAAAAGTAATCAACTTTGCTGTACAAAAACAGTCAGAGGTGGTTACAAAAGTTGGTTTGCTCAGTGCGTCTATGTCCCAGCACAGTGACTGGGGTCCAGAGCAACAGAAAAGGTGTGTTGAAGTCTCTGAAACATGAATCAACACAAAACAAAACAAGGAAAACTCCGATCTTTGTATATAAAGGATTGATGCTGGTCTTGAGAATAATGTCATCAGAAACCCTTAAATCGAGAGGCACACAGTGGGTCTCTGTGTTTACAAAAATCAAAGGAAAGTCACCAGTTGATTTCAATGGGCGGGGTGGGGGTGGGGTGCTCACACCCCTTAAATAAATATAATTCAGTTGAACGTCACTAGCAAAAATCACTTAGAAACTGTACAAAAATAAAAAAGTTAACACATTTAATCCTGCAAGGTTTTTATAAGGACGTGGAAGGCAGGCTTTGGGAGCAGCATCCGGGCATGGCTGGGGGCTTCTTTGGTTTGATTGAACACACGTAAGAGATGGGACCTATTCCGGAGGACAGTTTCAAATTTCCTGCACATTTTGAAGACGAGATGAGAAGCCAGGATACAGACTTCCAGTGTGCTGGGCACTGGGGCTGTGTGCACGGGACTGAAAATGTGCGAACTGCTTTTGGAGGGATGAGGGGCAAAGAGCCGACCTGGCCCATCCTCCTCCACAAGTGATACTGACCTCACAGGATGGGGGGGGGGCACGTGGGGAGGGTAGTAGCACATTCTCGTGCACTCAGAAGGCCACTTGGAGGAGGTGGGGTGGGGGGGACAACAATTGTTCTTTTGCAATCTGGTACCTGGCTGACCTTGTTTAAGAACAAGAAAACCCTTCCAGAAATGGAAGCCTTTTGCTACATACCAAAGTAAAAGACGTACTATTTTCCACTAAGGGAAAAGACACAGTTGCATTGGGAAACAATGGAAAACGTAACTGGAACGAATTAACAGTTGACGGGGGTGGTGGTGGGGGGTGGTGGTGATGTAAACTTTGTGCTACTCAAATGAAGTTCAAGTATTACTTTGGAGCTGTTGAAAGATCACAGAACTCACACCATAGTCAGGTGATACAGAGTGCAATTCACATTGGTGTTACTGAACAAAGAAGCCCCAACTGGTTAGCACGCAGCCTGGGCAACTAGAATCTTTGTCTGAGGGTAGAAACACATGCTACAGTTTCCAACATGTTCAAAGTTCATTCAAACCACATAGTTAACAGCTTTGTAATAGATGACCAAAAGAGAAAAAAAAAAGCCATGGGGGAGGGGTGAGCATTGGTTTTCACCCCCCTTTACACTGCAAAGCCTTCTAGGCAACAGCTACACAAGAGACACAAATGCATCTCGCAAGGCTTTGAATACAAGGAGACCAAACATGAAGCAAACAAACAAAACAAACGATCCTTTCCCCCCAAGCCATGGTGGGAAATACTGCTGACCTCGTCCTATGAAGCCTGCAGGAAGGTTGTTTCTTCAGTATGACATTACACTGGTAAGAAAATTCTGGATAACATCTGCATATATCAAGGATTTTTAAAAAAATCTGATATGGTTTGAGAGTCTGCATGACCAGTCACATGACCTGCTCAAGACTGATTAGCACCTTTAAATACAGAAACACACACACGTGTATGTACGGGCGTGTGTGGAAGTGAGCACACACACGCACACATGTATGTATGTAATAGATTTTTTCTTTAAAAAACCCCACATATACACGCATACACACATATAGACAGCTTCTAGCCATAAGCTCACTCAGGGCAGCGCCCGTGGAACTGATGAGATGATGGACTAAGATGCAGTTCACCAAATATTGGTCTATTTTGTCTCTCTTCAGTTTGTTTGTTTTATTTCATTTACTTATTTTTTTTTTTTGCAGCACTCACTATCATTCAACTTGTGCTCAGTGTCCCTATGAGGGCAAGAAAAAATTCCATCAGGTAGCCACTTGTGGTCACGCTGAAAGACTAATCCCAAGTAGAACTGAAAAGGTGGGGAGACCCCTTCTCTAGAGCTCCATGGCGAAATGTTTTCTGAGTCAGCCCCAGACTCACTGCAATTGGCTGCCATGATTGCCTTTCAGGCTGAAATATTGGCTTCTGAGTTAAGGCATCACAAATGAAAATGATTGGTTCAACAACAGGTGATGTGGAATGAAGGAACCCCATCGATCTACTAAGGACTCTCATCAAACCCCCGCCCCCGCAAAAAACCAATCATAACCACCACTACCCCCACCGCCACCCCCACATGCAGTTTGCTGGCCGCAGTGGCAAGCAGAAGCAAGTCAACCAATCCAAGTCGCGAACTAGAAAAGGCTACTTTGCATTCTCACCTAGCCGTCTGTCTATACCTATACCACCAATACCATTTCCATATTCCACGGCATCATAATCTTATAGTCTTAGAATAGATGGGAAGGGAAGCTTTGGAAAGTTCGTGGAAAAAATTGCATTATCTTTTAATGCCATTTTCCCACCAACTTTTTGAAGCCTTCCCTTGTTCTGCACCATAGGTATAGTCATCACTTGACATATTGGTTTCCTGTTTGGAAAACAACAACACAAATCAACACACACATATGCACATACATATATATGCATACACACATATACATCCACATATACATATAAACACATAGGTGGAGGGGTCTCAAAAAGTTCATGGGGAAAAACCCCCCATTATTTTTTACTGTCATTTTCCCCTTGCACTTTTAGAAGCTTCCTCTTATGTGTGTATGTATACATGTATATGTCCTTTTGTTTGTTTAAGTAACATAAGATGAAGGTCATCTTTCTCCAGAATCTGTCATTTTCCTGGGGACAAGTGGTCCTGTTGACACCAGGATGTTCTCTTTGACCATATCGTGAAACAACTGGCCCTGCAGATTGGGCTGGGCTCTAACTGCATCCATCATCTCGAAGTGCCAACGCCCTGACTCCTGTTTGGCAGGCGGACCGACAACAGTTTCTCAACATAGGAAATGTGTTGCCATCTAAAGTATGTAGTGCACAAAGCCAGTCACGCCATTTCATTTGTCTGAAAGTCCAGGATTGTCCCCAATGACAAATATCTCTGAAATCATGGCGTCCATGAGCTTCTGTCTCTCAAGCGATTATCTTTACCATTTCATTAAATGGTAGCTAACATTGTCTCTGGCCACTCATGACTTATTGAACCCTAAAGCTAACAAATTTTAAATTACTAGAGAATAAACAAAGGTCTCTTTTTTGGTTTTTTGCTCAAAATCATTTTTTCCATTTAAAAAAATACTTAAGAGTAAGGAAATTTGTCGAGTCTGTGGCTTCAAGTATAGAAACAATAAAATATTACAAGAATATTTCTCTAAATTGCTTCCCCCCTTATTATCCCTCTCCCCCCGCCCCTTTAACTCCACTTAATTATACCCTTTTTAAAGGCACTGAATTCTCTATCTGCTCTCTTCCTAATAGTCACTGCTCTTCAAAGTGATTTCTGTGGCATATCTGGAAGGTAGTTTGCACTTTTAAAAAAATGTTTTAGTTGGTAAGTTAATCCACAACGTGATGAGGCAGTCTCTCCTCTGAGAACCAGTACGGTAGGCATCCGTGGTTTCTCAGGCTCTGTGACAAGCCCTCCCTCCTGGACCTCTGAAGGTTAGCTACTAGAATCTGAATCTGAATCATGAATCTGAGCCATGGGAAAACATCTATTGAAGGAGTGAACACCCACCTATGAAGCTAATAACACAGCGAAGCTCAGACAAACCCAAGAGTACCATACGAAGACCTGATATTTGAGAGGAATGACTCCCAAACTCAACTTACTGAGAAAACTACAGAAGAACCGAAATACGATCCTTAAAAACTACGTACTTTCTTCCATCCACAGTTGAAGAAAGGAAGGGAAGCAGGGAGGGACAGGCAGAGGGAGGGAGGATGGATGGACGGACAGACAGAAAGACAGAAAAATAGAGAAAGAACCCTGATTTTGATAGAAAAAGCCAAATTCGATATACTCTTGTAGGAAATCAAACCCCAAAAGTTATATATGCTGCAAAAAAAAAAAAAATCAACGAGCAAAAGAATCAAATAGGATCTTCTTAACAGATGCCATTTTTCCTACCCGTTACCATGATGATCTAGCCTGACTATGTCCAAACTTCATCACAGTAACGGCAACTATCATCATAAAATAGTACAGTCAAAGAGATAGCTAGACCACGAAGGGGCAGGGTCTCCCGGGAAGAGGTCTGCAGAGAGGCCCAGGGACTGGTTGTGCGGCTCAGTGTCAGGAATAATGGTTGTATGGTGGCAGGGGATGCCCAATGCCATTTTGGAAATGATGATGCTGGCGATGAGCAAGGTATTCAGCATAGCTCAGGGTCATCTTTTCACTACGGTACCTGAAAGAAAGCCATGGTAAAGACAACGGTTAACATCAGCAAATATGTCCTTGACCTGCCAACATCAGAGAACAGGAGGGAGCGTGGAGGTCAGTTTCTGCTTGGGGGAAACGCCGAGAGCAGCAGCGCCTTGCTCAGTGTGGCACAGCGACTAAGGGCTCAAGCTAGGACCTGAGCCCTTGCAATCTACGTGCTCTTTCCACATGACTGTTTCTTGTTTAATTTGATCTAGACATTCCCGAGAGGTTATGCTTTCTTCTAGTCGTGTTAATACTGTCCCTGCTTGCTGACAGGGGGGACCAATGTGCACTCCTAGCCATTCCAGTGTGTCCTTCGTTTTCAGATGTCCCATCTCCCCCTCCCTGCACACAGCTACTTAGGTTTCCCATCCTTAGCCTTTCCCCCACATCTCTCCAAAATGTATGTGTTTTTCTTCGACCTTCAAGCCCTCATCTCACATTACCCGTCAGCCCACTGTTACTGCCACTCTTGCTCAGCAACTGTTCTTTCCACGGTCTGCCCCGATTTCCTCACCATCGTGCTCCCAACCCACTCCCCTTTTGATGTGTTCTCCTATCTCTTGGGCTCTGCGTCACCACACCCTCCTGGTCCTTCCCCTGGTTCTCTCCCTGTCCCCTCTATTCCTGTACTGTCAGGTTGACCTCGCATGGCCACTCTCAGCTCCTCTGCAGCTCCAGTCTTTCCTCCGTGGAACCACTGCCGTCCCAGGTTCAGTTGTGGCCTCTTTACAGATGGCCCCCAACTCGCCATCTCGGCCATGAACTCTCTGTACACAGGGGTATTTTCAATGGACCTTCCAGTGTAGCTCTCCCAGGAGGCACTGACAAACCACAGTGACTGCCTGAGCATGAGTCTCCACCGCTGGGCCCTACCTCTGTTAAGGGCATCATCGTGGGCCCTCTGATCGAGATCCACACCTTAACATCCTTTCCTTGCGGCTTGGTCCTGGGAAGGATGAGTCAGCTTTTCCTCACTTCCATGGTATTTTCCTAACAGTGCTTCCCTTTCTTCCTACCCTACTGCCATAGTTCTAACCCACATCATTGTTGTGCCGTGGCTCTAGATTCTTGGATAATAGCACTATCTCCTTCTTTTCCCATCTTGCAATCCCATCCAATCCCAGTCCAAATCTACCCAGACGGAATCCCTTACTAACTGGCCGCTGCATCAGGTCCACACTTCAGGACTTCCAGAGCCACCAACCCACCTTCTGGGTCATCTCTCTTCTCTGATGACTGCCTTCTATACATGAGGGGGCTTCAAAGGGTTGATGGAGAAACTCACATTCTTTCTTCATTCCATTGTTCCCATCAACTTTTTGAAGCCCCTTCATATTTATAATCAACAGCCAGAGAACCCGGGCTAATAATATTCCACAGTACTTTGCCTTGGCTCACGAGGCTCTCTTGAAGGGGATTCCTTTCTTCCTCCACTCCCGGCTTGTCAAATAGCCCAGCCATTCTTGAAGCCCAGCCCTGACTCAGCTTCCTCTTGGAAACCATCTGTTGCCCCCCACCCCCACCCCATTCCTTCCTGGAATAGCTTTCCCTACTGCAGCATCTCACTCCACCCATCACATTCTTGCATTGCTAATGTTTTGGAATGGGTTTTTTTGGCAGGGGGAGGGTAAATTGTGCCTGCCCTTTGGGCCCCCTAGACTGTGCACTCAGGGAGCACAGAAGTAGGGGTTGTTTCTGATTTGTCCCTCCTGGGTGCTTAGAATGGTTCCGTTTTTAGACTATAGGCATTCAAATCATTTTCTGGAATTGAAGTAGATGAAAACCGCCACCCATTTTCTTAAAATGTTGGATGTCTCCCTTTGAAATGTGTATGCATGTGACTCTATGCTGAAATTTCTTGAGCATTTGTGGGTTTAGCGCAAGCACATCTTTTCAGCACATTTTGTGTGTGTGGCAGACATCAACCCCTGTTTTAAGATTAAATTCCAATTCAATGGCCACTGATCAGAATCCTTGGATTGTGCTAGGCAATGGCAAAAGCGAGCCAATCACCAATTCGGGTACTTTCTCCAGTGCCATCTAACGTCTCAGAGGGCCTGTGTTGACAAAGCCAGAATCAACACAGAGAGCTAAAGATGGGAAGACAGGCTCATACATCAGACAGGCTTTACTGCCCAGCGGCCTTCCACTGTATTCGCCCTCAGTATGGCCCTGTCATTCCTTTCCCCTCTGTTTCAGAAAAGGGAAGCGAGGACAGTTAGAGAAAGCACAGGCAAGTCAAGCGTTACAGTCATATACCTCCCGGTGAGCCTTGCACCAGGAGAAAAGGCCTTGTGTACCTGGTCAGTTTTATGGTTTTCCTGAATTCATTAGTAATCGGAGCTTTGTATCCTCCTTTCCTCAGTAAGGAGTCTATGGTCTGAATGTGGTCCCATCCTGTGGAGAGTGAACCAGAGAACACAGCAGTCAAGCACATGCAACAAGCACCTTTGCTTAAACACAGAGTGACTTGGCAGAGGTCAGTTATCACTGTCACCAAATGCCACCAACTCCTTTGGTCCTAAAAAACGGTCACACAGAAGAACTAAGATGTCATCCTGGACAGAAGCAAGTCGACTCCACACACCTTTAGTTCTGGCTACCTGAGATGTCTAACAGCGGTGGCTTCATAGTCTCAAGCACAGCTGTAAGCACGGTGTCTAAGAAGCTGGCAGAAACTGCTCAATCCTGTTTCTGTAACAAACCAGACCCGACTTTCTAACCGGGGTATCTTTTGGAAGGACGGAGGAGTCTATAGTGCCGTCACGCCAACTCGGTAGTATTCAGGACTCCCATACTAACTCATGGTAATTGCTGTTCCTTAATGGAATCTTCTGCAGCCAATCAAGCCCCGCCCCCATGGGGGGGGGGGCAGGGGTACTATTTAAGAGCATTCTTATTGGTTCCCACATGAGATGGTCTATTACTCTCTGAGGCGCTCTACTGCTTAGGTATGCTTTCTGCAGGCAATGATGCTGCAAAATTCAGGTATTCTCGAAAACAGGGGTCCTCAAACTTTTAAAACAGGGGGCCAGTTCACTGTCCCTCAGACCCGTTGGAGGGCTGGACTATGGTTTAAAAAAAAACTATGAACAAATTCCTATGCACACTACACATATCTTATTTTGAAGCAAAAAAATAAATGGGGCAAAAACACCCGGCGGGCCAGATAAATGTCCTCGGGGGGCCACATGTGGCCCGCGGGCCGTAGTTTGAGGACCCCTGCTCTAAAACCACCTGAAGAAACCTCCAGCTAGCTGCCTTAAAGGCAAATGCTCATGGCTTCGTATTTCATAATATTGAGTTTCGTTGTTCTGTAGCTCACACTGATGTGAAACAAATGTGGCAAAACCAAATGGCCAATCTTTTCTGATGAGAAGAGCAAAAAAAAAAAAAGTTCATACGATGCAGAAGCAAATATCCATTTCAACCAATATGAAATTAGAATTCAGAAATGGTGAGAAAGGACAAACTGCTACCAAGGTAAAAAAAAAAAGTTATTTTTTTTTTGTAGTACCATGTTGTGATAGCTTTGTGAAATCAACCAAAGTATCCCCCTAGGAGGAAACAGCGACTCGTGTGTTCTCAGTGGCCCTCCTCTCCCTGGGAAATGTGTGATCTTCCAACTAGTATGAGACATTTGGAGCCTGACAATGAACTAATTGGGCTAACTGTCAGACACCAGGCTTGCTATGTCACAAGGCTACGTGCACAGTGTAATCTGAGAAACTGGCACCTCAAATGAGTAGCTCACTGTTGCCTAACATAAAGCTCCATTTTGGTTAAGTCTGTCCTTTTTGCAAGATTCGTTTGTTTTGGTTTTGCACGTGTGTCTCTCTGTACGGGCCAACTGTAGTGCAGATATTCAGCCATGGTATCATTCACTGATTGGACACAGACACTGCAGTGGCAGTGATGGAAGAGTCATTTCTCAGGATTTGACATTGACCAATTGTCACACATAACTGCAAGGTCAGATAGTGCATTTTCAGTTGTCTATTTGTTTAAATTCTTCACCAGCTCATATGAAATAAAGTGCAACAATGACCTTGCTCCTTTGCAACCTCCGGTAGGTAGGTGGCGGTGCGCTTTGATCCTTTTTCATTGATGAATTCTATTCTAATGCCATGTACACCCACCTGAAAGAAATGGGCAGTTTTATTAGTACAGTCTTCTTTTTCTACAGGAAGAAAAGGTTATAACTTCACTTTCAAGAGAATGCGGCACTTCCTTTCCCCCCTGAGGTTTGGAAAGGCATGTCAATTTTCTCCTTCTAAAGCCTTGACTTAGGGGTGAGGAGGCCATTACGATGTGGCCATGGAGACTGAAAAGGTGTATCTGCAGGTGCCCACCATGTGCTGGGCCAAGCCGTTCTGTTAGAAACTGGGACAACCCATCGGGGACTGGGTGGAAGAGCATGGTGGCTGGGATGGCTCCTGCCCCCACGTCCACATGATGGCCCGAGGCCATCAGGAACAGGCTCCCAGAAGATAGCCAGCAGTCACCCCGTGTTAACAGTACAACCACCACTTCAGGGCAAATTGCAAACCTTCTGGGCTGAGCCCTCCCAAACTCTCTAAAACACAAGCTGCCAGTCCAGTCAGTTCGGACTCGATGACAGACTTAGAAACCCCCATGGGGTTTCCAGGCTGTGGTCTTTACATAAGCAGATGGCCACATCTTCCTCCGGGGAGGGCTTGCGGAGTTCCAATCACTGACCTTTCCGGGGAGCAGCTGAGCCTTTCACCACGGCACCCCCAGGGCACCTTCTCGACTGTCTAGTCCCTTAACAACCTTGAATTGCAAGGAACTGAGCAAACATGGCCAGATAAGACTGAAGAAATAAAACCCCCAACTCCAGGAGATCCTACAACATCATCCACTACAATTCTTCTTTTAAAAAAATGCACATGTCTTAACGTGGGTCAGTGTCAACCCCTCACTGTCCATCTGCAACATGGTCCCTACAGAGTACTGCTACATTTAAGAGCCACCAAGTGCTTGACACAATAGATGGATGAATGGATTGTGATAAGGGCCGTAAGAGCCCCCAACAAAATGATTTAATACAATAAGAATTAAAATTCCTTTGGGGCAGGGCCTTTTAGTCTTTTCTCTAGCTCTAGGGCTTTGCCCAGAGATGACTATAAATTGAGATTGTTTATATGAAACAGACAACCTGCAGTGAAGCTTGGAAACAGTCTTCTAAAGAAGTGTGGGCAATCTACTGGTCAAATACAGTTTAAAGTAACATCCCTTTTCTTGGATTAATGCGGAATCTAAAGGAATTTCCTTTCTCCTCCTATTCCATACAGAATAGCGTCTAGCCCTAACGCTCATAAAAAGTTCGTAACTTCTTTCTGTAGGCCGGTGTTAGCAATGAAATCTCTAAAATATAAGCAACTCTATTCCATTTTCACTGTTTTCAAAGTGCAATATAAGACCGTGCAAAGTACTGGAGCCAAGCTAGAAGACCCTGTAAACATCATCTCCCACGAATAGACTTGCATTCTTTCCATCAGTCTGGATGGAAAGATCTAGGTCCAAGAACATGGGATGGGAAGGCCAATGAAAACCCTTTTGTGTCTGCTCTTATCCTGAATTTTTCCAAAGTTTCAAGGGAAAAAAGCCTCTGGAAACACATTTTGTTTTCTCCCCCAGGTGTTCGTCCACCCATCTATTAGGGCCTGTCAGATCATCGGAGCAGTTTATTTTGTTTCATTAAAGCATATCTCGGCGGCCAGGCCTTCTATCTATTTAATCAGTCTACGTCTGAGTCTCCCGGTGAACATGCCAGTGGGGCAAGTGTCTTGAAAATGGACAGTGCCCGGCCTTCATCCATTCGCTGGTGGGCAAGGACAGTGAGCAGCTGAGAAGAAATCGGAGTGCTCAGCTCTCAGGTATTTTCAGGATAAAGGGATATCTACTCATCTCTTCAGTGCCTGGCACAGTACTGAGATAATAACAAATTCGCATGGTGTCTGTATACTGAGTTTCTGAGCAGTGACTCTGACAATATTCCCTTGAAGTATCAGATTCCTTATCATTTGTTTTTTAAAATCTACAGCATACATAATGTATGCTCCCAGCACTCACTGGAGTGAAGTTTGAATTTTCCCCTCTAGTCATCAAAAATCTGTCGTGCTGAAATTGAAAAGATTATCTGATGTATATTAAGGTGTCTAAATCAAAAGTCTGAGAGGAAGAATGTTTCTCTATCTGTGAAATGAGTGTTGAACTAAATCAGTGATGCTTAACTGGTATAGCGTGGGAAACATGGGGGGTGAGGGGAGGGAAGGCTTAAGGTTTATCAGAACTTCCGGAGGGTTAATGTTCTAGCAAGCATGATCTTTAAAAACTCAACTCTCCGGGAGATTTTTGTTCTAGATAAACTAGATCATCTTCCATAGCCAATCTAGCTCTGATAAAGCACTATACAGTGAGGAGAAAAGATTTATGTAAATAGGGTTGGAGGGGTTTAAATATCTAAGTCCCTTCTTCATCTGAGAGTACATGATGTATTCAACAGAAATTTCAGAGATGCTAAAGCCTACTCATTTAATAATTAAAAGATAAATTAAGACCAACTGAATAGTGTATGAAGGAGCCCTGGTGGAGCTGTCAGGTAAATCTGTTGGACTATTAACCACAAGGTTAGTGGTTCAAACCCACCAGCTGCTCTGCATGAGATAGTTGAGGCTATATGCTGTCATAAAAATATACAACTTCAGAAACTCTATATAGGGTCACTGTGAGTCAGAATCAATCCAGTGGCAGTGGGTGGGTATGTTATATGAATGATTATCTCAACAAAGCTATTCTATTACACCCACTCCTCACTTATGGACATGGTTAGGCTCCAAAGACAGGGTTATTATGCAAAAACAAAAAACAAAAAACAAAAGGCCTTGTGGGAAAATGCAGGTTAATCACATCGGTTCACAAAATAGGGCATCACGTAACTGCCAAACTTCATTCTATAACTGTCAAAGATCCAAGAATCGGGGTTCAGCAATGTTGACATATAATCTTAACCAGCGTTATTCTTGCCTCGTACCTAGGTATTTGTTACTGTCAGAGGTACATCATTAATGTGTGAAACAGTATTTTTTACTATTGTTATGAATGCCAAATATTGGGTAATGAGATAGTTCTTAAACCCAAATAAGGAGTAGGTGTATAATAAAGATTAAGACCAAAACTAAGGATCAGTTAGTCAAAATAAAAATCACTCAGTCTGTCCATTTGAGTTATTACCCTATTTATAGCTTTGTTTCTGTCTTCCTATGAGTCTAAGCAATTGAAAGCCCGTGTAGGTGGAACTGTATGCATGGTGTCTCCTAAAGTGAATCCTTTGTGAAAAATAACTTCATTGATAGGCCCAAGATTCATTACACAAAGACAAAACGTCAAATCGATAGAGGGACTCATTTTCCAGCTAGCAGACTCAGGAACATGATAATAATGCTCATAATCAACTCATAGCCTAATAACTTTTTGTAACCTGTTGACCGACAGTATTTTCCTTACTTGTGGGACCACGGATGCCATCACATGATCATGGTGCATGGTTCAGACAGGAAAGTGGAAAATGGCCAGATGCTGAGAAGGACCGATAGTGGCCACCCGGTGTCAGTCACTGGCTTTGCAAATTAAGTCATCTCTGCTGAAATGAGCACCCGCCCTAATTCCATACTGCTCTGAGAGGTACCTCTTCCAAAGCTGGCACTCCAAAATGGGACCTTCATATTCCCTTACACAGAATGGAAGAATCTTCCCCAAATACAGGCCATAGATGCAATGATCAGCTACATCAGAGACCAGTGAGCCAGGGATTCCCTGAAGTAAATGTTTTTTCAGACTCTATTTCAGCAGCTTTGTCTTTCTAAGGATGGATAAGGAGGTAGGATCTGGGCAAACCACGTCAAGAACTATAATCCTAACTAATTCTGCACTGCTCAAAATACAGGCAGGTGAGCAAACACTGGAGGTGATTAGGCTGTTAGCACTGATTCAGTTCTGACCCATAGCAACCCGTTGGTACAACTGAATGAAACACAGCCCAGTCCTGCCCCGACCTCACAATGGTTCCGACCTATGCTCGAGCCCATTGTTGCAGTCGCTATGTCAGTCCATCTCACTGAGGGCCTTCCTCTTTTTTGCTGCCCCTCTACTTGACCAGGCAACTAGAAACTTGCAATGGCCTTAGAGAATCTGCAGGTCATTTTCAAAAATTTTAGATGGTTGGGGGGAGAGGGGGAGGCACTTTCAAAGTCTATCAGCTGTGATAGTGTTTTAATCCATATTGTACTTTTGCTAAGCAAAGTTATAAATCAACTTGAATGGTGGTAAATTAAATGTTAAGACTTGCAGATAAGAGGATATGGAATTAAACAGAGCTGTATCTGTGTGTGCTGAGAGAACACAGCGACCAGTTTGATAGATTCCTATTTCATGCTAAAAAGAAAGCCACATTTATTCTGACCCATTCCATCGCAAGTGATTTCCATGAATGTTATTATACGATCATTTGTTTTGAATATTGCTCAAACTGATTAAATATCAAGATTAATATTAAGACCCTAAAATATATCTCAATTATTCTGCGGTTGATTATCCAGTTTGGGGATTATTGCTGCACCTGCAATGCCGCCTGCCCGCAGCCCCATCCTCTTTCTGCTCTCGTCCATTTCTCTAATTCCTCACTCCTCTATCAGAGAGCATGTGGGCACAGAAAAGAGGATATACACGCAAATGAATCAATTTTGCTACATGGTAAAAGGTTTGGTTGAAGAGGAGATTATAAATAATGGCTAAAGCGAAGCTTCTAGACTGTCTGCAGATTTCATTTATCCTGGTTATCTGGTCTCTTGATAGAAATGTGGCTTCATTTAAAACTATTATCCTTTAATGCTGTGACTCTCAATAGAGGAGCATTAAAAAAAAGTGCCCCCCCCCCCCCCCCGTTACAGGGGCCCCTATGGTGCTTGCACAATCGCATACACAGGGCTTCATACCCCCTGGTTTATACATAAGGCAAGTGTTAGTCGCGTGCCTCACTAGCAGCGCTACAAAAGGGTATGACTTAAAAGACTCATCTAGCCAAAATTATACCTGAGTATGTTTTCTGGCTACGTGG